AAAAGGCAGCCCTCTTGGCCAATTGACAATGAGATGGAGGTGGTGGACCTGTTGTGAAAACACCACGAGAATGGTGGCCGGCACCACAACTGGCCCACACAATCACCCACCTGCCACCTCAGTCTCAGTAGGTGTCTACCTATAAGCAGGGATGAAAAAGCTCTGATCAGAACACTTGGGACCCCCTAGACAATCCATCGCTGACCTCAGAGCAGCTGTTCTTAGACAATAAAACTTTAAAAAATAATCTTGAAAGGGAATTGAGGAACACGAAATCATCCAGACTGAGCTGCATTAAATATGGTCTACGTGAAGACTACAGATTCTCATCCTATTACCTAGATTAGCTTTTATAACCCTTAGGTCCCTCAATGGATTAGCTGACTTTGTTTTCCTCTCTCTTACCCACCTTGCCTCTCCCAGCAGCGCCCCCTCCTTTATCCTCCCTCTTCTCTACCTTTTGCATTCTAATCACTACTTTTTATTGAGAAGCTTTGCTTTGATGTTATGAAGGGACTACAGGAAAAAGCAAACCACTGCTTACAAAAACTTAGGCATCTCTGATTTGGTAAGTCTATAAGACACAACCCTACCCTGCCTTGCATCTAAAGCTAAGACACACCATCCTTATCTTGACTAGGGACTGTATTAAGTCCTTTTTTCAATGAGATCTTTATTTATAGGTCATTTGCACCTCTAATGTTAAAGGTTAAACAATACCTTCACTTTAAAAGCCCCATTTTACAGAGTTTACTCCTTTAAATTTTAGTAGTATCTACTGCTCCCCCATATTAGAAAAAAAATGCCTGAATACATGCAGTCCCTTCCCTGTATTACTTGTGTTTAAACTATAAGTTAAAAAACATATACTAGTAGCCTGTTTACATCCAAATTTTACATTTATCATCTTCCCAATACTGTAGCAGATGAGCAATAGCAAGATTGTTTATTGCTGCTGTCTCCCTGAGTTCAGAGCAGAGATGTCAGAAAACAGGCCAATTTGTTTTCCAGAGCCCACAGAAAGAGAATGTGAACCTTTCTGCACTTCTCCCCCTTCCCATTTTGATCAAAAGGCTTTTCTTCATTACCCCTTAAGAACTGCATGCTATTCATAATACATCCTTTATAAAAAAAAAACAAAAAAACAAATATTAAAGGATAATCAGATACATTTATCCAGTTTTTCACTTCTGGTCTTCCACAAAAGTGTACATCTAAACTACTAGCTAGAGCAGCGAGCAACACTAGACGCTTTAGATTTTTTCACCCAAGGCCCAAACAGAGAAGTCAACTCCTCCACATATTTATCATACCCTCAATGACAAGCATTTAGATTTTTAAGGAGTTCCAATTATCTTGCATTGAAATTCCTACAATACAAAATATTTCAAAGGAGTCTGCTATTTTAATATTTGTATTCTTGATTAAGTCAAGTCTGTACAGTCCAGCCCAGAATGATTTAAAGCAGGGGTGCTCAACATCTGGCCCACAGGCCCTTTATGGCCTGAAAAGCCTTGGAATCCAGCCCACAGGGCTCCCCAAGGCTCAGGAAATTTGGCGGTAGGGGAGGAGTGGTAGGATTAACTGTCACTCCCCACTGCTAAAATCCAAAACCCTGGGCAGTAGGTCAGAGGCAAGCTATACCCTGGCCAGAGTCAAGCCATATCCTCCTGCACAGCTGTGGCCCATGCCCCTTTCTCCCTGCCCCCAACCAAGTCCAGGCCATACTCCCTTCCCCCTGCATGTCAAGGTTGGGGCTGGGCCACTTCCCCTCCCCCTGCGGTTTGGGGCTGGGCCATGCCCCCTTTCCTCTGCCTGGCCAGGTTTGTGCCATGCCACTCCCTCTTCCTCCTGTGGGTTTCGGCCATGCCCCCTCTGCCTACAGGGTTGGGGCAGGACCCTGAGCAGGGGGTAAGACCCTCTAAATCAGAAACCCTCAAGGTTTTAGTCCAAGCAGGAATATTAGCATATCCTAGTCAAAATCCCCAGTTTGGCTACAGCTAACATCCAATTCTGGAGTACTTACACCTATGGATGTTGGCAAAGTAGAGTGCAGGGGTCAGCAATGTTTTTAAGCAAAAACACCCATAACCTCAACTTGTAAGATGTTGGCGTGCTAAGGGTGGATGGCAGATGAGCCATGGGGGGCCCAATCCTTGTTGTGGCAGCACAGCCCCTTTTCCCACCCTCTGCCCCAAGGCACGTGTGCCAAGCAAAATGCCTGTGTGCACCATGCTCTTGTACCTGTGCCAGGGGTTGCCTACCCCTGTATAGTGCCTCAAACTGTTCATCAAACTCATACGCTCTTTGAATTTTTGTTGAATCTCTCATGAATGCTACAGCACCATCTGGGAAACTTTGCCACTCTCTAACAAATGATCTAGGTTCTAATAAATCAGGCTGAGTATGGTTAAGGTTCCCAAAAGAGCCCTCAAGTCCTACTGCAATGAGATGACTGTTTTTGCTGCCTAATTCTTCAGCAACTCCAAGACAGTTAAAATTTACACACTTCACAGCTGATACTGTAGCAACAAAACTGGGCAAAAACAGATTTTCATGACGTTTTGATTTCACTAAAGTTACATTTCAGAAGTTTTCCTATTTACAGAGTAAATCCAGGCTTTATGAAATTCTTGTCAAAAGCCAAGAGTTATGAAGAGACTTGTTTCTGGCCAAGATCTGGCAGGCAGGTCATTGACCTGGAATATGGAAGAGCAATGTTCAAGACTCTGGCCTGCTTGATTCAGACAAGGGACTTGACTTCCCTGGCAAGAGACCTTGGTAGACTATTTATTGCTCTAAGGCTAGAAATCGATGTCACCAAATGGAACAGATGGGGTATGCCGGGAAGTGCCTGGCATAACTGATCCACCTCATTGGGGAAAATATGGATTGCCCATTGTCCCGCCATTGATCTTGTGGGACAATGGGCAATGTGTTCCCCATTAACAGAGATGTGCCCTGGAAATCTTTGGGGCACATCTCTAAAAAAGGGAAACCCTAGCTTCCCCAGCTTACAGAAACTTGCCTTGGAGACCACAGAGAGAGCTGGACACACCATTGTGGTCCTGGGGCTGGAACTCCCAGTGAACCAATTGGCAGCCTCAGCCCCAAGACTACACCAGGGCAACGTCCATACTCCAGTGTGGTCCAAGGCCCAGGCCCCACCAATCAGCTGATTGTCTGTCTCAGGTCTGGGACCATACTGGAGTGTCAATGGGTGTCTGGGAAATCCCAAACAGGGGAACCCAGGCATGTGCTCCCAGGGCTTCAGGGCCTGATCCTGCTTGCCCCAGGAATGGGAATTCTCAGGGCACATGGGATTGAGACCCTGAAACCATGGGTGTGCCAGCCCAGGGCTGCTGGAAAGCATCAGCAGCTCTGGGCTGACCACACTCTTCCACCATAAACCTAAAAGATATCTGTCATAATAAATCATCACAAATTGATTATAGATTTCATAGATATTAGGACTGGAAGGGACCTCGGAAGATCACTGGGTCCAGCCCTCTGCCCAAGAGACAGGAAGTCAGCTAGGGTCAAAGAATCCCAGCAAGATAAGTGTACAAATGTTTCTTAAAAGTGTCTGGAGCAGGTGCTTGCACCACCTCTGGAGGGAGTCTATTCCAGGCTCTGGGAACATGGACAGTAAAGAAGTTTTGCCTTATGTCCAACCTAAAACGGTCTTCCAGGAATTTGTGACCATTGGACATCGTCTTTCATTGAAGTGGTCTGGTGAACAGATCCTGATGCACACCCCTTGTATACTTATAGGCTGCCACCAAGTCACAAGTTATGGCCACAAGTTTTGAGCATTTGTGACAAGACAAGGGGGTACACATGTTGGTTTGCTTCACCTTTGTGCCACCATAAAAATCCCCCCACCCCCGATTTGACCAGAAATTCTATCCCTGTACCAAGAAACCTTCCCTGATGAAGGTCCATCAAAACGTGTACGGATACATACACATACATGTACACACACATGTACACACTTATGTCAGCTCCAACAACTTTTTTCTGAAGGGAAAAAAAATATATTTCAAAACAGTTTCCCTAGCCAAATTCCTTGAGCAAAAGCACTGTTCTCCATACTGGCTGGGGGGCCAGAGAGTTTAGGGTCTTCAGTCCCCAAGTGTGAATCCAGGCACAAGTAAAATCGTATATTCTAGCAAGTTTTCTGATAGTTTAAGGTGAGAAGTCTGACACGCTAAATGGAGCATGAGAGAATTTTTTGGAGTGCAGAGGAAAATAGTGGGGGTGGGCAGGAAATGTAGAAAGGAGACCTTCGTGCAACTCATGAGGAAGGCATTCCAGTTAGACAGCTTGTTTATAACCGGGATCATTAACATGAGTCACAAAGGGAGTTGGTTAGTTTCAGTCCTTTACTTGAACTGACAACTGCCTTTCCACCCAGGTGAACAGAGAGAGGCATCTCACACCAACAGGCACACAAGAAACATGTTGTTGTTCTTGGTAGCAATGAAAACTTAAATGGCTTTCAACTACACACAATCTAATTTTACACCTCGAAACACTCATGCAAACATCATTCAGATACTTCTTTATAAAAAATAAAAATAAAAATAAAAAAAACCAGCCTACCAGAGATGCTATGGATGGAAGTGACATGCAAATTATCACCCGTACAGCTCTATATAAACTTTCCCAATCATAGCACGGCTTTTGGCCTTATCTTAACGGTGATTATTACATGGATTACTAAAGGGAAAGCAATGCAGGCTTAATGAAAGCACTAATGCAATTCCTCACACGCGTCCTCTTAGTTCTTTATTTTTATTTGCTCATCTCTCTCCAAAGCCAAGTCTTGCCCTTGCTTAGATGGTAAGAGGGGGGTCTCTTCCCAAGCACTGTGCAAACACCTGGAACAAAGGGCCAAGGCTCAGTGGGGGCCTGGAGGCACCAGCCGGGGCAGAAGGAAACGCCTCTCTTCCCAAAAATGCCGCTTGCCCCAGAACACGCCGCGCCGCCGCACTCACCCCTTGTAGTAGGCTTTGACGCGGACCTGGTGAGCGCTGTCGCCGCCACCCAGCGACAAATGGGACATGGTGGTGCCGCCGCCGCTGCCCTCCCGCTGCGTCGGCATCGCCGCTCGCCCCTGCCCTCCCGCCTCCCTCCCCGGCGGCTGCAGCTCCCAAGGGCCCGGCGCGACAAGGCAACGGCCACCCCCGCGCCCCAGAGCGCCTCTGCCCCGCCCCTTGCCCGCGGGCTGAACCAAGTGCTCACACCACGGGGGGCGAGGCGCTTGGAAGGTGCTCGGGAATAGGAGGATCCCCCCCCTCACACCACCATAGTTGGTACAACCCAGGGCCGGATTCGTGAGGCATGATGGGACTTGTAGTCCCCCGCGCGTGGGGGGACCGGCTGGGACTGATGTTGCGGGCAGCGCCGGTGCTCCTAAATCCCCGTGGATGCACGGGGACGGGGTCACCAGGACTGCTCAACATCGGGCCAGAGGGCAGGGACTGAGCCAGTGATTCCCAGCCAGGGCAACCCCAGCAGCCTGGAAATCCTTGCAAGGCTGCCCTCAATGTTAAGCATGCACACGTGCTTCACCAGACAAACCTGCAGATGTCAAACCGTTCTGACCTGTTGCGGTTTTTCTGAGTTCTTTGCAATTGTTCTAATTGTTCTCGTATTGTTAGAATGGTTCTAATATAATCTTAGAATTCTTCTAATATTTTTCTGGGTTGCTGGTGGTAGCTGTGTTGATCTAAGGACATAGGCAGGCAAGGTTCTTTTAGTAGATATGATATCTTTTATTAGACCAATTGAGTAGTCGGAAAAAAGTTCTTAGCAAGCTTTTGGGAGCAATCACCCTTCTTCAGGCATAGGGAGTCTCTGCTGTTTCTATGCCTGAAGAAGGACGATTGTGCCTGAAACCTTGCTAAGAACTTTTTTCCGACTACTCGGTTGGTCTAATAAAAGCTATCACATCTACTCTAGTATCTTTTCTGCCATCAAATATGGAGTGAAAACTAAGAGCTGTCATTGTTCATGGGGTGTCTGGAGTCCAAAAAAGTGGAGAACCACTGGACTAAGCTCACCTGGCATTGGGGGAGTCACTGTTCCCCTGAGCACCGCCAGGAGTGACCAGGAATAACGGTCACAAGCTGGCAGGGGGTAGGTTTAGGTTAGACATCAGGAGGCGCTACTTCATGGTCAGGGCAGCTAGGGTCTGGAACCAACTTCCAAGAGAAGTGGTGCAGGCTCCTACCCTGGGGGTTTTTAAGAGGAGGTTAGATGAACACCTTGCTGGGGTCGTTTGACCCCAGTATTCTATCCTGCCGTGGCAGAGGGTCGGACTAGATGATCTACTCAGGTCCCTTCCGACCCTAGAAACTATGAAACTATGAAAAACTTATACTAACACCGCCAAGGGTATTGCTGCTGCCATGTAAGATTTTGTACTATATGAGCAGGAATGTGTTACAAAAAGCTAGATGTGCTCTATTTTCAATAGGAAATAGCTAAAGTGTTGTTGGGAGTTTAATTATAGAGACCTCTAAGTGTGTGGGTGATTAGATAACTAGTCCTCTACAAGCTGATTATTATTGTTGGCCATCACAGGACATTCCCACAAGACCTTGCACAGGAAGCATTTTTAGATTTTAAAATATACCTATCAGAGTACTCTGCTTGTGGCAAAGTGAGAACAGTCAGACTTCAAATTCTTCTGTTGGCTCCAATTAAACCAAATTCATGCCTCACAAAGCTCCTGTTGACTTAAGTGCTTTGTTGGATTTAAGCCCAGTCCAGTTCCTGTTAACTTTAATGTCAGTTCCGCTTCCAACACATGTGCTAAAACTGGCATCTAGAGCAGCCCATTTTCTCCTTTGAAACATATTGTAGAGCTCCTTTTCTAGAACTGTGCTAAGAGTTATCACTGTGCTGAGTTTGTGACTGAGTCAGTTACTAAAACTGGCATGAGCTACAGTGTTCAATGCAGCATTCAGGTGTAACAGGATGCAATTACAGAAATAAATTCCTCCAACAGTGTACTCAGATTTGTGAGTGAAACATAATTTGGTGAGGAACACTCTGAACTACTCCAAAAAAGTGAGCTGGTTGAGTGATCAACTGCTTTATCTCCCCCGTGCCACCATGTACACCAATACAGCTTTTGGGTTGTATTTACTTCTGTGGGTAGTAAGTACAGGCAATCGATAACTTGCCAGAAGAAAACAGAAAGCTCTTTGTCAAATGTTTGACACTCCACCTACTTAAACAGCTGTGGCAACAGGAACAACAGGTTTATAGCTTATTGTCGGGAAAGGAAAACGAATCTAGAAATTTAGCTGCAAGATTGTCTAAATTCTACTTGATGACTTGCAACAAGCTAGTCAGCCAATTCACTTGTTAAACACCTCAGAAAAAAATAAGGAATCCATGGATCTAACTTTCTAATAGCCAGTATTAAACAAGAGGTCTTGCATTTACCAAAGTTCCAGTAGTATGGCTACAATACCTAGAAGTCAGTCAAATGTGGTGGAATAGAAATCACAACTGGAACACAGGCTGAAAGGCATGCACTCTTCAGGACAGATACAGAGACAAAGGTGATGGAATAAGGCATATCAGTTAAATGATTACTAAAAAAGTGAGTGATTCTGCATACAAAAATCTGTTTCTGTCAAAATCACTTTGATAGTAGTAGTTTTTCTGCAACAGGCTTAAGAATCTGACCCCTAGTGTCAGAATTTATGAAGATCATCCACTGAGCTGGTAATAGAGAGTCAGTACCTGTGTGAACTTCCTTTATAAGGAGATTAGAAACAATATAGCAACTTGTTTTTCATTGGCATTTACCTTAATTTGACCTTAATATAAATACTTTCTTTCTCCTAGATATAACTGGTCTAGTGATTTTGTTTGATCATGCCCTTGTATCAGATGAGAAACCCTGAAAAATCTTGTTTTTATTGGATGTGTAATGTCATGTTTTCAGAAAATAACATATCCAATCTTGCAGATAAATTCCACTATCACAGATTTTGGTCAACTGGATTCTGTTCTTTCTTGCCCCATTCAATTCTATAGTGCATTGGCTGCTTGTGATGGCCTTCTCTTTGTCATCATTTCTTCAGGCAAATGCTGTTTAGACTCTGTATGTACCAGACATATGAAACAGAAGTTTGACAGCAAGGGTAAAAAAAGGAGTCCTTGTACAAGTTTATTTTAACATTGGTGCTTCCAAAGCACATGAATGTAAGTTAAAATTGTCATAAATAATTTCAGTGAGTCCAACTGGGTATTTCTTGTTTGCATTCAGGTACACGCTGGTAAAAATAATAATATTTATTTTGTTCTTTGGACATAGGTTTCTAATATGGACAAACACTGTTAGTCCTAGTTTCAAAACTAGGGG